AGGTCCCCCCCCCCCCCACCCCCAGCCACTGAAATGTGACTACTGTTGATGAAGTTATTTTCATACAGAAATAAGTCGCTGTCACCATTATATCCCCCATCCCATCCCTATTGGAGTCAGTGATTTCCTTTCGCCACTCACACTTCAGGTAAATATATCCCTCTGAACTTCTGAAGTCACCGCTTCAAGGTTCTCATTTCCCTTAATGTGTTTCCTCCTGGTTCCATTGAAAACGCGCTCTCTGCCTCCTGGGGCTCAGCCACCTCTTAGTCCTGGCTCCATGTGCTCAGTGTCACAGTCTGGCCTTTGCTTACTATTTCCTTCATCTCTCAACTGCAAACAGAGGTGCCCTGAGCCATGGTCCCAAGCCAGGAAGGTTCTGAACTGAGGGCACCCTACAGATGTGTAAACATTTTACCTTGCTAACCCTGCTAGCCACCTTCCAAAGGCAACAGGAAAACCAGGGACTGAGAGCCCCTGGCAAAATAAAAACCTGCAGAGACAGAGAGGGGGGAGGGGGAGAACGGATCCCGTTTCAGATGTTCATTTCCTCATTAGAAGAATTTTCTGTTCAAGTGTAGGGGCTTTGTGTTAGCCAGGGAAGGAGGAGATGGTGAGTTTAGAGGTGAGTGGGGAACACAAGAGTGGGGGCTCTAGGAACCATTGTTCTCCTTGTTTCCCATAGTGGGGTAACTTATTCCAAATCTGGGGTCAGAGCCTTGGCTTGAGGGGTAGGGGCAGTGCTTGACCCCCTGGAATTTATGCTTTCTGAGTAGGCTTGCCAGGGGATTGCAGGAGGACTGGTGCTTTTTTGAGCCTTCATCATACTTGCTCACGGTACATGGTCAAGATGCCGTCAGGGCACCATCTCTCTCTGACCTTTCTGTGTTTTGCTTCTTGTCATTTTCTACTTTTTGCCCTTGACATCATTTCCTAGACCCTCCAGCATCTGAAAAAGGAACTGCCATTTGGAGAGCCACCTTGTGCCACGTGTGGTATATCTGCTATGGCTTTTCAGTATGACCATATACTTAAATAGAGTTAGAGATGAGGGACGTAAGATCCACAGAGGTGGAGGGATTGGGCCCAAATGTACAGCTAGTAATTGCTATCATCAGAATGACCCCGAGTCCAGAGGCCCTACTCTTCCTACCCTACCAAGAACACACGCTGTCTTCTGATCCATTCTGTCCTCTAGCCGTGGAAACATAAACCAGTGCTTTTGATCTCACTAATAATTCATGTGCTCATTCATAAGTGGCTGCTCTAGGCAAGGCATGGAGTGAGCTGCTGACAGAACACAGATGACCCAGACAGAGTCTTCCATCTCAAAAAAGGCATCCAGTCTGGGGTGGGAGAGGGTGTGGTAAGATGACTCAAAAACCAGAAAGCACGTGTCCAGATTCCTAAAAGTAAAATGAGTTCAGAGAAGAGAATGATCATTCCTTACAGGGTTATCAGAGAGAGCTTCTTGGAAGAGGTGGTTTCTGTTTTAGCCATTAGGAAACTTAGAATCACAGGTAAACAGAGACCAAGCATGTGAGGGGAATCTTCATTCAAGACCTTTCTTTACCAGGTAGAGAACCAAGACCCAGAAGAGATAGTTGAGGCTTTACCAAGGTGAGAAAAGGTTGACTTTGGGAGGACATTCTCGCCATTTCCTGAAGAGCTGTCAGGCAAAGTGTGGGAGGAGAGGTAGAGGTGAACTGCCTGGCGCCAAAACTGCCATCCGTGTCAGCAAGTAATGGAAAGATTTACACAAATTCTAAGGCCCCAGTGCCCACAAAGGAGTAAAGACTGTGTGGACCTCCTTTATTGATTTTTCTGGAAGCTCTCCATGCTCATTTGATGAGTGCTAATGGTAGATGCACACTCAGTTAAAGTGACCACAACCATTTTCCAGCTAAAAGTAGGCCGTGTCCTAAATGAGCATCTTCTATTAATTCTTGCATCCCTCTCTTTATCCTCCCACCTGGCCTCGGGTGTCAGCCAACATTTAAAATATACTCTCACTTAGAAAGCCCTCTTCTCCACCCAGCAGCCTGTCTGTGCCATGGACACTGGGTATATTTCAGAAAGGCTGGGGAGTGGGGGTTGATGAGTGGAAAGATTAGATCCAGAGAGAGGAAGGTGCTTACCTCTGGTAAGTGACTTCTTGGGGTTCCCAGAGTAAGTCTAGAGATATCCTGGCTTAAAACTTTCCCAAACACCTGATGAAACTTGTGCCATCCCCAGGCAGATGGTGTGGTTCAGATCCCCAGTGGCATTGATGAGGGAGAGGAAGGTGCTGAGGACCGTGAGTCCCAGGGTCTGATGGATCCAAGATCTGCTTACCAACCAGTTGGCCTTAAACTTACTCTTTATCTTCTTTAACTTCCATGTGCTCCTCTGTTAACTTCCATGTGCTCCAAGAGTATTACATAGATTAAAGGAATTAATGCACACATAGACCTTAGCATAATGCTTGACCTCCCATAGAGGCTTAGTAGATTGTACTTATTATTGTTAACTATTATGTAGGGGTCCCCAACACCTGCTTATGTAAGAGGCTGCTTGTTTTATTTTTTAAAATATTAACTTTTGTGTTAGAGGAGAACAAGCTGAATTGGGTCTCAGGAAATTGGTCCATGACTCTGTGTAACCTGACAAATGCCTTCCACTCTCTGGGTCTCGAGACTCTAAGCTGTCAAGTGAAGGAGTTGAAAGTGTGATCTCTGAAAACCTTTCCAATTCAGCCAGTCAGCATTGCTGCCTTTCTTTGGCATAAGTGTCAGGTCTGGCCAGACTCCTGTTAGAGATAGAAACAATGGAGTTCCTTGTCCCCACCTCTGCAGGCCGACTTTCCCAACAATTCACCACCACCGAGCACTGGATGGCTGGCTGCTCATGTCTGATGTGCACTCAAAGTTATGGCGACCGTAGGAGGAACTGTCCTACTAAATGAACACCTTCTGTTCATTATTATCTCCCTCTGTTTCTCCTCTGACCTCCCATATCATTTCATACTTAAAATACCCTATTAATTAGAAAGTCTTCTTTCCCATAGAACAGCTTTGCAGAGTCAAAGGTTTTTGGATTTGAATGATCATTATTGGTGATGGTGTCATTGTTTTCTTTAGCTCAGGTACCCATTCTTCAAACAAAAATATTTCTCTGTGTGTTCCATATGCAAAACCAATTAAAGTGAATCCACTTGGGTTATAGTTATGGTGAGAAGCCCCCAACCCAACTCCCTTGTCCTCTCATTTTCTGCCTGAGGGTGGTTCCAGAGGCTCCAGTAGTAACTGCCAATTTGAAGATGATTGGTCTAGGACATCCTGATATAAGTTTTATCGCAACGAAATAACATAACCCCCTTTCTTTCCATCTTTTATTTATTCATCTTTCTTTTTTGGGGCCACATAGGGCTGTATGACAAGTGTTCTTATACCTCACGTGACCGAGGATGGGTCGTGGGCATTCACACCATCAGTGACCAAGGCAACAGAGACCCACGCTACTTTTTCTCCTTGAAGACAGACCGGGCCCGGCAAGTGACCACCATCAATGCCCACCAAAGCTACCTCCCTGGCCAGTGGGTATTCCTAGCTGCCACCTACGATGGGCGGCTGATGAAGCTCTATGTGAATGGTGCCCAGGTGGCAACCTCTGGGGATCAGGTGGGTGGCATATTCAGCCCATTGACTCAGAAGTGTAAAGTGCTCATGTTGGGGGGCAGCACCCTGAATCACAACTACCGGGGCTACATTGAGCGCTTCAGTCTGTGGAAGGTGGCCAGGACCCAGCGGGAGGTCCTGCTGGACATGGAAACCCATGGCCTCCACACGCCTCTACCTCAGCTCCTCCTACAGGAGAACTGGGACAATGTGAAGCGCACCTGGTCCCCCATGAAGGACGGCCACAGCCCCCAGGTGGAGTTCAGCGGTGCCCACAGCTTCTTGCTGGACACCACTTTGGAGCCCCCTCTGTGCGGGCAGACGTTGTGCGACAACGCACAAGTCATTGCCAGCTACAACCAGCTGCCGCGCTTCCGCCGGCCCAAGGTGGTGCGCTACCGCGTCGTCAACCTCCATGACGATGGCCACGAGAACCCCACGGTGAGCCGCCAGCAAATCGAGCTCCAGCACCAGCAGCTGGCCGAGGCCTTCCAGCCCTACAACATCTCCTGGGAGCTGGAGGTGCTAGAGGTGAGCAACTCCTCCCTGCGCCACCGCCTCATCCTGGCCAACTGTGACATCAGCAAGATCGGGGATGAGAACTGTGACCCCGAATGCAACCACACGCTGACCGGCCACGACGGTGGGGACTGCCGCCACCTGCGCCACCCTGCCTTCATGAAGAAGCAGCAGAATGGGGTGTGTGACATGGACTGTAACTACGAACGGTTCAACTTCGACGGCGGGGAGTGCTGTGACCCTGACATCACAGATGTCACCCAGACATGCTTCGATCCTGACTCTCCACACAGGTAAGACCCGCTGGGCAGGTGGTGATGCCCAGCTGAGAGCTGAGCTTCCTCCCATTTTATAGGCATGTGCCCTGAGGCCCCTGGGAGTCCTGGGAATTTTCCAGCTCACACGGCAGCCTTGTGACTGAGACCAGGCTGATCTTGGGGACCACATGTGATCTTGGGGACCACATCAAGCATCATCCATTACAAAAATGTGTTGACTGCCTACTCTGGGATAAGAAGGAACGGTCAGGACCCTGTCTTCTCAAAGAACTCACAGTCTAAATTGGGTGGCATGAGCTGGGTACAAACAGCTGTTGAAGCGTACGTGGTAGAGTGGGCTAGAGTTGTGCTGTCTGTCTAGCCACCTGTGACTATTCACATGTAAATTAAGATGAAATAAAACTGAAAATCCAGTTTCTAAGCCACACTAGCTGCATTTCAAGTACACAGCCGTATGGGGCTCCCGTAATGGACAGAGTAGTGTGGTCGGTTGGGCAGTGTGAATAAAGTCAGGGTCAGTTCTCTGTGGTACTATTTCCTCACTTGTTGACCTCTTGGAAGCCATTTCCTCATCTGTGCAATGGGAATAATCATGGTGCTCACTCTGCTGAGCTGCTCTGAGGATTGAGAGAGGGCATGCAGGGGTGGGCAAAAGTAGGATCACAATTGTTTGTATGGAAAAAGCATGCAGGCTGTGGTCATAATAACACAAGAATCAACTGTGTTTCACATACAACCGTAAATCTCCTGTGCCCACCCTTGCATAAAGCATCATCTCTTGTAGTGGCTAGCAGGTAATATGCGCTCATTGAGTGTATCTGTCATTCTTTGTATGATACAGGGAGCAGGTGCTGTGGTCAGGGAGTGCCATGGGACATCACAGAGAAGACTCACTGGCAGCATGAGTGTTTGGGGAAGGTGCAGGTACAACTTGCGCATCAGAGACTGGGTTGGGGGAGAAAGGAGAGCCCTTGGGGAGAGGCACTTCTTCCTGTCCTGCTGAGAAGAGGGCAGAAGAAGCGTCTTCTATCTAATGCCCCACTTAGCCTCTACCTTATGCTACCAACTCTCACCAGGAACGCAAAGGAGAAACCCCAAGGTGAACCCCTGGGTGATTTATATTCTACGTGAAACCAGGAAGAACTAGTTTGAAGCCAGAGAAACAGTCAGCATCCACTCTCCGATGTCCCAGATTCGGGCTGAACTTTTCCATTCTGTCCGCATGCAGGACCCTGGACCTGCTGATAGCCCGGGTGCATTTGCAGACCTCGGCAGGTTTTCTGCTGACTCCCCTCTTTATGTCTCTCTCCAAAGAGCAAGGGCCGCCCATGTACAGACAGAATACCTATGTGCAAAGGAATGACGATGCCTGGCAGCAAGCCAGAGAGCACGTCAGCTCAGCTTCCTGGCACCAGGAGGGCCCTGGACTCTCACCTTGGCTCCACACATGAGCAGCCCATGTGGGAAGCAGCCGTGGTGTGTGGCCAGTTCCTTCCAGGTCATGATGCCCTTTCATCTCTGCTCTCATTTGGGCTTTGACAGAATTTGGCAAGGAAGACAAGACAGAGGTTAGTTAGCATTTGCGTTTGATGGACAGGAAAAGAGAGGAATTTCGAGAGTGAAATGACTTGGTCAAGGTCATGGGTCAGGAAAATCATTTGGTTAATTCACAAATGCAAGTCTTCCAAGATTAATGCAGTGTGTGCTCTTCTGAGCTAGACTCCCAGAGGTTACTAGTGTACCCAGGCAGAGTGGGCATGGGGAAGAGCAAAGGGCCAGAAATAGGTAGAAGTTATTCACCCATTCATTCATTCATCCATCCATCCATCCATTCTTGCGTCTATGCAGCACATGTTTATTTAGCATCTACCAAGTCCCAAGAAGGTGGGTAGCCTGAGCCCTCTTTTCCTGAAGGAAATTCAGGATTCAGAATGGTGAAGGGATTGACTCAAGTTCACTCAGCTACTCAATGGAGAGCTTGGATTTGAACTCAGATCCGTGGACTCCAAAGCTCCCACTGAAGGAGGGTATTTTTAAGTCCAAGGAACAATAAGTGGCAGAGTTAAAGGACAGATTTCGCAGGCAGGACAGCTTCTCTAAAGTCTTGGGAGAAAACTGTTGAGTGGGATTGGGTCAGGACCGAGGGCAGCCAGCCTTTGTGGAGGGCACTGTGCTGGTGTGGGGGACCATGGGGCTCCAGGTCCCAGATACCTCACCATCAGCAGGCAGAACTGGCAGGCTCCAGTGGCCTCCTCTTTCCTAAGTCATGGGACTGCATGCCCAGCATGCCTGAGAGTGGTCCTATGCCAGTGCTGTGACCACTCCCATCAGGGCCTGTTTCTTTGCTGGTTCAGAAAGTCGTGGGCCCTGGGTGAGCCCCTCCAGGGCACACTATCTCCTGGCAGGTTGGGGGTGACAGCATTCTGGCGGAATCAGGTCTCCTGTGTGCAGAGAGAAACCTGTGGAAGTTTGTAGAGAAATTTTTACTTTGTGACTTTTCAAAACAGAGGTGGGCAGAAGAAATGACAGAAGGAAAGAAGGAAGGAAGACGGGCACCTGTGATAGAGACAGTGAAAATTAGATTGACATTATGTAGATAATTTGTAATAAAGAGCTCAACTTAATTCTTGCCCAAGGTGATTCATTCTCATTCCCTCTCTTCTCCTCTCTTCTCTCTCTCTCTCTCTCTCTCTCTCTCTCTCTCTCTCTCTCTCTATATATATATAT